CAAAACTTGCGTACGTATACTTCAGCTACATTGGGTATTTCGGAATTCATCATAACCTTTTCCCTGGGACCAGCAAAAAGTTGCGAGAAAAGCAGTTGGACTGATGGATGTAGGAACGTTGCTGGCCATCATCACCTGAACCAGGAACCGCTGGAAATTAATGTTGCAGTTTTGTTCCTCGGACAGACCAATGTTGTTCAGTAGATGTTTCCTCCAAAACTGTTTGGGGCACGCCGGTCGGGCTAAGGACTCTGGATCCCCTTAGGGCATTTCAAACTTGACCGCGCAGAGGGTTTCTTTATTCACAGCGTTGTTGAGGTGCTGAAATGGAATGGCTTGCCACCAGTGGCCGAAGACAAGTCTTCGTTTGGCGCCTTGATCGTCTGCAGAAGGCAGGGCCAAGAGGGAAGGCGCGGGTGCTTGATGTGGATGGGTCGAAAAATGGGGACCCCTTAGATACTATGTCTCCGGTTCTTTTTTTTCGATTTCAAATGATTGAGGGATTTGCTGGGATTCCGTTGAAGCGTCGCTGATGTGAGCGGGCGTTCTTTGGGATCTCAGCGCTTTTGGGAGCTCCGGTCACCTCCGTTCACCGCTCGGGATGTGGCTCAGGCGGTAAATGAGACATTGGCGGCTCAGGAGTCCGGCGAGGATGGGATTTCGGATCTCCTGAACGACGATGGGGTCGTTGAGGGTTGGGAAGACTTGGAGCGCCTCAGGAAATGTCAGAACCCTTGCATTTCACGGCTGAATTCTTTGCATTGTTTTCTATTGGAGTATTTGAGTGCAATGATCAAGTGCGTACACAGAAGCGCATGAGCAATCCACTCGCAGAAAACAACACGTCGACATGCTGCAGGACCTTGGCCCCTTGCAGGAGTTCGTGCGTGCCATTACGCCGGAAGGAGCCTTTCCGGCTGGACCGGCGGCGGGCGCTGTCACATGCACATATTGTGGGATGCGCGGCATTTTACGTTGAACTCATGAAGCAGTTTGGACCTTGGACATTGTTTTTCCTGGGAGTGTTGCGAACGGTTCTTTTGCAGAAATCTTGCCAAACAGATTTGCGTCAACACATTTGGAACTTGTATATAGCTGCCTTTGTATGTTTGGTATATCATAGGTGTGCTTGTATGTTTGCTCTAGCTGCGCTTGTATGTATGCGGTATGCACATTTGCAGCTGCCGCTGCGGGGGTCGGTAATACATTTGCGACTTATATAGCTGCTGCGTTTGTAAGGTAAGGTATGCTACAAGTACATCTGCAGCTTGCCTCTATTTTATGTTTGTGTAGGGAGTTGGTAATATTAGACTTGCTGCCATTGCTTTGGTGCTGGTATCTTGCTCGGGTGCATTGCTTTGCTGCTGGGATCTTGCTTGGATAACATTCGCTGGGATTTTTGCTTAAGTAAAGTCATACGCAAGGTCAAGTATAACTTTCCCTCGGGTCTTCCGTTTGTAAAGTCATATGCCAAATCAAAGAATACTTTTTGCTGCGGTCTTGCTTCAGTGATTACATATGCAGTAGTAAACATATGTTAACGTAGAGTAAAGCATATGTTTAGGTGGGGGCCTGGCCTGACAAGGCTTCTTGCGAAACGTGACCCTGCGGAGATCGTGTGTGTCAAGCGCTCAAACTTTAGGCGTGAACCCTTTGCGGAGATCGTAGGCGTCGAGCGCTCAAACGTGAGGCGAAATGCGAATTCTGGTTGTGCTGTGGATGAGCTACATACCTGTTGCGGAGATTGTGCTTGTCGAGCGCTCAAACGTGAGGCGAAATGCGCGTTCTGGGTGGGGTGAGGTGAAGCGCGAATTTTGTTTCCGAAGAGTGTAACTGTTGTCGAAATTGATAGTGGAATCGGAAGGCGCGAAAGTGTATATATAAGTGTCGTCGTAAATGGCGCCGGAAGCTGGAAGTTGCCAGTTGCCTAAGCGTGTAACTGTCGTCGAAAACAAAGGTGGAGGCGGTCAAGGTGTGCAACTGGCGTTGAAAACGCAGGTGGAGGTTGCCAAAGCGTGTAACCGTCGCCGAAAACGGTGGCGGAGGTTGCCAAACTACTGTCGTTGAAGTTGGAACTGGGTAGTGCAAATGTAGTGCGGGAAGGAGCTTCTGGGATTGGAGGGGTTTGACTGCGAAGAACACGGCCGAGGAGATGGAAATGGACCCAACGGATCAAGTCATGGAGTCGAACCTCTTGCACTGGACCATGGGTCAGAGGTTGAAGGTCATCTCAGCCGAAGGGCAAGCGATTGCAGCTTGACAACAGATGGCGCAGCAAGCGGCGGGAAGCAGTAGCTTGAGAACTGGCTTGACGGTGCCGATGGTGCCTAATGTTACATTGTTGTAACTGTAAGTTGTATCTCGTTTGTTGCGCACTGTGTGGCCAAATTCTGTCTGTGATGTCACTGTACCATGCGATTTTGCGCGGCTCCGGTGGTGAGTCCGTGCCATTGGGAGAAGGAAAGCATGCTGGTGTAAATTTGGCGTGTCGCATCGGAGTGGGGTGATTGGCAGTGCCCACGATGCTTAATGTGTTGTCTCTAGCCTGTTGCACACTGTGACGGCCAAATTCCGTCTGTGATGTCGCTGTGCCATGTGGCTTTGTGCGGCCTCGGTGGAAAGTGCGTTTGCGTGAGTTTGTGCCACCGGCGCAAGGAAAGCATGCAGATGTAAATTCAGCGTGTCGCTGGGGAGCGGGACGATTAGCAGCTTGCAGGTGAGGTTATCTATAGCTGTTGTGACCGATGTAGTACCACACGAAACTTGAAACTTAGTGGCTTTTTAGAGGTGGAACTTTTGCACTTTGTAAACTTGCCTTGTTGCTGCAGTCTTGCTTCGGTGTTTTGCTCTAGTGCTGGGATCTCGCTTCGGCTACTTTTGCTGCTTTCTTGCTTCAGTCAACAGTTCTGCAAAATCGATTACGACCGTCATTGGAGTCAACCCTCTTCTACATACTTTGTCCTTCCACGCTCCCGGGCCACTAGTCCGGTGGAACCCAGTTTGAACATTGGTTTCTTGCTGGTCATGATCGGCACTCGGTATTCTTTTTTGAGACCGATCTTGGCGGCTTGTCCCAGGAGTCGTTGCACTTCCGCAGGCGAAAATGAGCAAATGCTGCGCTTCAGTGTGGACCTATGCAGGCCAACAATGGCTTCAAGGGTTCTCATGGGGTGGAGATGAATTGAGATGACACCGCCACAAATTCACATTAAGTTAGGGATTCCACTCAGAATATATATATATAGATGATCTATAGACGGTATTGGTATACACGCTGTCCAGTCTTCGATCAAGGACGAACCAATCATTCTGGATCGAAACGAGACCAGCTCTAAGCCAGCTTGCCAGGTCGACAGCCTGTTCCGCCAGAAGGATCCGTTCAATGCCGTTCCAGTCCAAGGGGGCATTGCGTGGTGGCCTCCACACGCGACCCACAAAACTTGGGCCAGGCCAGTAAAAGCTGGTTGGGGCTTGGGAGGAGAGGTCGCAAGGGGCGGAATTTCTGCCTGTGCTAATCGAACAGATGAGTATCATCGTGGAGGCTAGAGGCTTGTAATGCAATTGTTTGTTGGTGAGTTCTGATGGCACTCCAAGGGATGAACAAGCCAAGGGATGAACAAGCTGGGAACAGGTTGCTACCTGGACTTCTTGCTTGAGTTTTCATAGTCGGATGATTAGCTCGTTTCTCAGGGTGGATGGCACTCCAAAACTTGCTGTAGATCAAGTTCATTATAAAGTCAGAGAATCAAGAATGATTCTTTTCTTAGACAGAGTTCCTGTTTGGAAGAGTGGGTTCGTGTTTGGACCTTAGAGGTTGTTGGAATCAGAAGTGAACACCTTTTCGAGCGCAAGAGTTGGAACAATCAGTTTTCAATCAGGTGGAGGCTTCTGATGGGGATCTATATAATTGTGGTTCTTTTGGGCCGTCAGGTGGTGGTGTACTTGGTTACCAAGCAGATGGAGGTGGTGAAGCTGCAGATCATGGGTTGGAGTGATCCTTTGTGTTCGCTGCTCAGAATTGACTGCACAGTTTGGATTGGCGGAGCTGTGCCGCAATAAAGAGAACCCACCACGAATGGATTGAAACCATTCCTGCAAGCCACTCTATTCTGAAGGGGGCACTCAATATGTCGCTCACTCATGCATTCAATGCCGTTTTCAGCTCAATTCCCCACGCAGCCCATCATCTGACCGGTTTCTTGAGATTGTGAGGCGACTTGGTCATCGGCGACATTGTGCCCCCTGCGCCCGACTGCCGCTTGTCCTCTGACCGAGTGTAGGGAGCCCCAGCGTGGTCTAGAGGCCTCAGTGAAGCCGGGACCTACTAGCGATGGCCTCCAACCAACCTAAATTCTTGCGATTTGCTGCAAGATGTTTGCATGCCCATGGCAGATAGTTGCGGGAGGGAAAATCAGACCAAAAGGGAAACTGGGCCGGTCGTGCTCAGGGTGGTGTGGTTTTCGGGCGTTGGAGCAAAGCTCTACTCCTTCGAGGCGGCAGGACTGATGTGGCCATAGACGAAGTGCTCCGAAACATCCATGTGCACTTGAAGAAAGATCTTCACCTCAGGACAAAATCTCAAACACTGTATGTCTTATTCATTAGGATCAATCCCCTATTGGATTCGAATTTTGGCAGTCCAAAATTTCCTGTGGCAAAGATGGGAGCGACTAGGTCCCCATGATTTTCCTTGCAGGTGAGCTGCCGGGAGAAGGAGCAGCCGCGACGACTTGTGTCACATGTGCAGCACCCCAAGTGATTACTCCCCAACGGTTGAAACACTGTGGGACATGACTAGGAAGTGCCGAAGCGTCTTGATTTGCCGAGGAACCTCTTGCCAAACAATCCAGTGAGCTGTTTGAGCGGCAGCGCCAAAGGGTTGTGCCGCTGCTACGTAGGCAGCCTGGCAAGGGGTGAGTGTAGTGTGGTTGTGGGCGCACAGTTTTTGATCGTGCCATTCAGGAGTGGTTGGTATCAGGTCATTGTGAGCAGAGATGTCAAATTGCTAAACCACCAATTCCCGTTTCGACCAATGACTCGACCTGTGGATGCCTCTCGTGCATCGGTGACTGTGCTGTGCCGTGTGAACTGCGTGCTGCATGCCAACAGCCCCACGGAAGGCTGTAAGATGGCGACAGTGCAGATTATGGAGTGGCCAGACGACGCTGTCTCCAAAGCCAATCATTTGGGAAAGATACAAATCCCAGGTGGGCCGAAGCACGCGCCGCAGAAGAATGCAAGGGCCGGTCTTTGTTCACAGTTGCAAGTTGGCAGACTCTAGAATAAAATTGTTGAAGGCGAAGCTTTAAGCTGTAGACGGGTCAAAATGGAATCGCAAGAAAACTATGAATTACACCAGCGTAGACCCCAAACAGTTTTTCGCATTTATTGTCCGTTGAATTCGTTGATTAAAAACAGACAGAATTCGTTGAATTCGTTGATAACTTTGCGTCATTGTCAAAATACACATATAAGCTCCTTTTTGCATCTCGCGGCCACTTCCCCAATATGGCACACCCATTGTGTGACCCACCCACTGCCTGGCAAACCCAAGTGCTTGGCATACCCTAGGTGGGGGCCACGTGAATGGGAACCCTGTCTGATGCTGGCAACCAGCAGGAGACAGATCAAACCTGATTAAAAAACTCTCGACGTCGACCGGGCACTAGAATTGACATTGCCATAGCAACATCCGTGACAAACATGATTTTTTTGCATGTCGGCACTTTGTTGTGGAAGTGTTGGCTGTATGCAACTCATGCGCCGCAGTGCCGCTGATTGCAGCAAACTCGCTCTCAGCTCCACTCAGCTCCACTGCTTCCTGACACGAGTACTTTTTGCAAACCCCAATCCCGCCGAAGAGGCTCTTGAAGTCTGAGCAAGCATCCAAACTGAGTTTGAGCCAGCAAGTACAATATCAAAAAGTCATAAAATAAATAATCTACAGTACATTCGGCCTAGCAAAATCAGAAGCAAGCGCACAGCGCATACATCAGAATTACTCTGTTGCGCTGCTTTCAGATTTAGAACTGATAGGTTTATCGGCGTGGCTCATTTGTCTCAAGACTCTCGCGTTTGTCTCAAGACTCAAGCTTTCATGGGTACCTGGCATAGCATCTGTCTCAGCCCGTATCACCTCAAACACTCTCAATTCACTGACACGTGCTGGCACTGTGCATACGGAAGAAGTGCTCTTGCAAGCGACTACTCGACTCTCTCTCTCTCTCTCGTCGCTCGGCCTGCAAGTTCGTCGGCAAATAGTGTTCGGCTCACCTGATGACACATGACTTTGAGAGGAATTGCACTCAGAAATCACAAGGAATAAATTCCAGCGATTCTAATTCACATTCCAAGTACAAAACACAAATGCAAATGAAGTACTTGAAGGATGAAGGCACTCACCTTCGTGCTCTCGCCAAGTCTTGCATGCCTGCAGTTTGAGTAGTCCCCATGACCATGCGCAAGCTGCTTGGTAAATTGATGTGTATATAAGTTGATATCGTTTCAACAAAAGTCGAACCAAATCAATGCGAAGGGTTCTTCAAGGAAACTCCCCCGCCATCTTGAAAGAATCCTAACTTTTTCTGGGGTTGTCGGGCGTTACCTCTCCGCAACAGGATCGTCAAAGCGCTTCTTCTCTCTTAAATCGCACGGCGGTTTGAATCGCACAGCCTTACAGCCAAATCTAAGGATCCCCTGCGGGGTCCTGGCAAAATCGCAAATGGCACAGGTTTCTTGCGGCACTTCGCGAATGAAGTCCGCAAATCAATTCAAGGGATGCAGTGCAGTCCCGCTTCGCTGAATTCGTTGAGTTCGTTGAATTTATTGTCTGCCATATACACCCCCGTCCGCCCCTTGGTCAGTTTTGAAAGCCCTCCAAAACGGTCATAAAACGATTGGAACATGGCTTCTGACAACCGTTCCAGGAAGCATGGAGCAGCATCAGCCCCCTCCATGGTTCGTTCCAACCATCCAATTTTATGCGTTGCGCTTTTGGCACGCAACAATCCTGCCGAGTTGGCCATGACTTGACTATCTGGCGCGTGCATTGTGCACATTTTGGACACCCAACACCATCGTATCAGCCCCGCAACGCAGCTCCACTCACCTCCCAACAGGCTTCCGCGAAGCATGGAGCAGCACTACCCCCACCCATGCTTCGTTCTACTTGTGCACCCATCTTCCCTCCCCAGCCCCGTCCCATGCGCCATCTTCTCTGCCAGCCCCCCGTCTTGCTCCCCTCCATCTTCCCTCCCCAGCCCCGTCCCCGCCCATGCACCTCCCGTCTCGCTCCCCTCCATCTTCCGTCCCCAGCCCCGTGCGCCTCCCGGCACTCCCCGTCTCGCTCCCCTCCATCTTCCCTCCCCGGCCCCGTCCTCCTCCACATCCATCTTCCGTCGCCGACAACGCACGCTTTGTCTCGCTCTTCCGCGGCACTAGCGACTAAACGAGAACCCAAGCGTCGAAGATGCTTTTGGGAAAAGCGTAAAAAGAAGATTGAGGCCAGCTCCTGGTCTGGATTCTGGGTCCATTGTCTGGCGCTCTTCTGGATAATGTTTTTACGTAGAAATTGGCGAGCATTTCAGCTCTATATCCTTGAACGCTGTGCGGCCACGCCATGCTTGAGCCATGTATTCACACCTCAAAAACATTTGCGCGCCCCCTTGCCAAAACCAAACACAGGTTTTGCACAGGGGCGCGTTCCCCAAGAGTTTCCTGCATTTTCCTCGACGTCTCAAAATGGCACTGCGCCCTCATTTTGATCACCTTGTCCATGTATTCTTCGAAGATTCCGCCTCTGGATCCATGGTAAACCTTGTCTAGTTTTTGCTTTTTTCTCTGTCCACGCGCAACGCTGGTGTACAGGGTGAGAAGGTGAAACGGAGGTGAGGAGCCTGAAGCTCTACCCACCTGTTCTGCTAATTTGAAAACTTTGGGGCAAGTGTGTTGCAAGGTAGCCAGCGCTGGTCATATCCCCAGGTTCAGGTCGACTAGACTCGCACTTTTTTCGTTTCCGGAAGAGACGCTCTTGAAAGACACTCTGGTAAGACATAGAAGACACTCTCTCTTTGAGGACACTCTGATTTACAAGACATTATGAGGAAACTTTTGAGACTCTTTTGATACTCTTAGAAGAAGCCATTCTCCTTGACACTCTTGACCGACACGGGTGTCTCACACTCTTGGAAGAACGCCAACCCCCCAAAATGGGCAGGTGCGCAGCGAAATCACCTGTGACACTCCCTCACACTTCAAAACGTCACGTTTCTACGGTATTTCACACGAATCTGACAGTTTTGGTACGTTACAACGAAACGTTGGAAGCATTCTCCCCAAGAGCAAGGCCTTTGAGCGCTACTTTTTCACCGCTCTGGCGCTCTCGAAGTCAAAAGTCTGGCACCTTCATGGCATGGATGTTTCTCCTTTGTCCGTGCGAATACCACAAGCACGTTTGCGAACGTTCAAAAGGCACATAGCTGAAGCTTGTGAGAAAGGAGTTTTTTTAAGAAACCTCAATCAGCCTCCAGCTTGCCACCCCAAATGTTCAGCCGCCTCCCGGGCTGCTTTGCGTGTCTCGTCAGCTTTGGATCCAAACAAGGTTGCGAAGGTTTCCAAGAGTTCTTCAGGAGGTCCGCTTTCGATGATGTTTCGGATTTTGTCGTTGAGCCCCAGCGTCAACAAGTTCTTGAAGGAGCGAGGGCGTGAAAGCATCACGTAGACAGCCAAGAATTTGATGTCTGCCGGTGATCTGGCAGGCAAAGTCATGTGCGCCACTAATCCGGGGGACGCTGTCGTTCCTTGCATCGTGTATAGGCTGCAGGCCTTCTCTGGCCAGAGTGGGAATGCCGTCCGCTTGATCTTCAATGAAATTTTCTCGTCTGGCAAGGTGTAAGACCACGTTTGCGTTTTTGAAAGCACTTGAATGACTCCAGGATATGACGCACACTGGTCGCAGTGTCGGTTGAAAATCAAATGCTCCCCGCAAGGTTTGGGCGGCAAGAATTCCAAATCCACTCCTTCGAGTTTTACATAAACTGCGGTTGGGCGTTTTTTTAAATAGTATTCTGGGGGTAATTTTGCTGGGAGGCGCTCAGCAAAAGCAATGTCGACAATTGTTGCAACGGTATCCTGAACAGCCCAGGGGGGTAAAACCGATGTAGTCAGCCGTACTTTTTGCCCAAAGTGCAATAAGTTTACGCCTGGCAGTTTTTTTGTGGTGGACAGGTTCGAAACACCAAGCAAATGCTTGAGATGATGGGGCTCACAGGCTTGGTCAGGCCAATCTGCTGCAGGAACGAAAAATAGAGTTTGATTGGCTTCGCGGGCCGAGTGCCGTGCTTTAATAAAGGCAATCAAGGTAGTGATAGACCACAGGTAACAACTCTCATACCAGTCGCCGGTGGCTTGCACCAAAGCTTCTGGGGACTGGAAAGCAGCTTTGTCTTCTAGCCTAGTCTCCGACAAGTGGCTCCACTCTTGATCTGTCAGGCGCTCACCGCCGGGCACCCGCATTTTGCGCAAAATGTTTTTTTGGATTTCGTCCTCAAATCTCATTGCTGTTTGAAGGACAAAGACTTGTGGGATTCGCGCGAACATAGCCAAAGCAGCTTTGTGTTCATGTCCTCCAACATCTGGCGTCGCAAGTAACGAAGAAGTTTTTGGGACAGGTGGAAGTTGTAAATGATCGCCTGAGAGAAGCATGAACGAGACACGGCCAAAGAGCTGTGTCGGCTGCGCGTACCGTGCCAAATCTAATTGGAATTGATCAGCTCGGATCGATGTGGCCCGCAAGGAAGCAGCGTGAAATAAAGTTGTTGGAACCTGTGACCACTCGTCTATGATCACAGCCCCCGCCCGCCCCAGGGTGTTTTGAAGTTTTTTTTTCTGTCTGCATGCCGTCGGACACACAAGTGGTAAGACTTTAAGCTATCGTTGGCACGGACACCAATTAGGTTATGTATTGTCTTACCGCCGATAATTCTGGCAGCCTTGTTGGAGGGAGCCGCGAGCTGCACATTGTGAGCCCCAAAATAAACATTCAGCAACGGTTCTAAGACCTGGACAATTACAGTGGTTTTTCCACAGCCCCCGCCGCCGACAAGGAGAACGCGAACCAGACCTAGGTCGACCGGCAAGGTGTACACAGATGTATCTTCTCGGTTTCGCCACGCAACTTCAAGTGGATTCACTAGAAGGGCCAACAAGT